GTTTCTGTATTGCATTTTGCATCTGTGTTTTTGCAGCATTTTTGATGCAATTTGCATTTTTTCTTTCATTTTTTTTTAATTTTCTTGTTGCTAGGCAGACTTAAAATGCATCAAAAATGTGGCAAAACTGCAATACATGTTTTTTCTGTAGCATTTCCACTGAAGTCTATAGTACCAAAAACGCAACTGTTTGCATTCAAAAAAGTCCTTGACCCTTTCCAAAAAACACACTGGTTGAAAACGTGGAGATGCGAACCTGTCCCATAGGACATCATGTGAAATGGACTGTACTGTGTTTCTGCAAAATGCAAAATGCTGCAGAAAATGCTTAGGTGTGAACCTAGGGTCAGGGACTCTTTTGAACGCAAACATTTGTGTTTTGGTTCTATAGACCTCAATGGAAATACAGCAGAAACACATTTATTGTGTTTTTGCTGTTTTTTGCGTTTTAAATCTGCCTAGCAACAAGAAAATTAAAAAAATAAAAAAACCAAAAATGCATCAAAAACACGGCAAAAAGACAATGCAAAACGCAGGTGCAGAAACGGCTCGAATGCAACCTGCATAGGTGTGAACCTAGCCTTAAAACGATTTTAAGATTCCTCTGTAAAAGTTCTGCCCCCATGTCACCTAACACTTATAGAAAACCTGTACTTAGGGAACATATAGACTGCAATTGCTGATCTTTCATTCTAAAATTGCTATTTGTCATGATGATTCAGTGGCATCCATACTTTTTGAATCACTGACCCAGAACTCAAATTAACTCAACACATAGCCATTAATGTCTAAACTGCTGGCAACAAAAGTGAGTACACCCCTTAGTGAAAATGTCCAAATTGGGCCCAAAGTGTCAATATTTTGTGTGGCCACCATTATTTTCCAGCACTGCCTTAACCCTCTTGGGTATGGAGTTCACCAGAGCTTCACAGGTTGCCACTGGAGTCCTCTTCCACTCCTCCATGATGACATCACGGAGCTGGTGGATGTTAGAGACCTTTCACTCTTCCACTCTCTGTTTGATGATGCCCCACAGATGCTCAATAGGGTTTAGGTCTGGAGACATGCTTGGCCAGTCCATCACCTTTACCTTCATGATGTGTGTTTGGGGTCATTATCATGTTGGAATATTGCCTTGAGGCCCAGTCTTTGAAGGGAGGGGATCATGCCCTGCTTCAGTATGTTTCAGTACATGTTTGCAATCATGGTTCTCTCAATGAACTGCAGCTCCGCAGTGCCAGCAGCACTCATGCAACCCAAGACCATGACACACTCCCACCACCATGCTTGACTGTAGGCAAGACACACTTTTTTTGTACTCCTCACCTGGTTGCCGCCACACATGCTTAACACCATCTGAACCAAATACGTTTATACGAATAGTGTCCCATCATTGGTGTAAGTGGGAGGAATAGTGCCCCATCATTGGTGTCAGTGAGAGGAATAGTGCCCCATCATTGGTGTCAGTGAGAGGAATAGTGCCCCATCATTGGTGTCAGTGGGAGGAATAGTACGATTTCAATTCCCAAATCGCACCTGAAATCACGCACCCTGGATGCGACTTGGCATGCGATTTGCATGCCCTGCGGCATACCAAATTGCACTCAATGTGACCGGGGGCTAACACCACAGTCACATCTAATCCGATTTGGAAATCGGGCAACTTACAGTGAAGTCACACGATTTCAAAATCAGATTGGATGTGAACGGAGCCTATAGTGGACAATAGGGTGCGACTTGGCCTATAATTTGCAAGTCGTCTGTCATGCAAATCGCATGCCAAATTGCACCTGATGTGACTGGGGGCCACCTGTCCTGTTAAACCGCTGTATGGTTTTGGCCGCCATGCTGCAGCTCAGTTTCAGGGTCTTGGCAATCTTCTTATAGCCTAGGCCATCTTTATGTAGAGCAACAATTCTTTTTTTCAGATCCTCAGAGAGTTCTTTGCCATGAGGTGCCATGTTGAACTTCCAGTGACCAGTATGAGAGAGTGAGAGCGATAACACCAAATTTAGCACACCTGCTCCCCGGTCACATTTGAGACCTTATAACACTAATGAGTCACATGACACTGGGGAGGGAATATGGCTAATTGGGCCTAATTTGGACATTTTCACTTTGGGGTGTACTCACGTTTGTTGCCAGCAGTTTAGACATTAATGGCTGTTTGCTGAGTTAATTTAAAGGGGAAAGCAAATTTACACTGTTATACAAGCTGTACATTCACTACTTTACATTGTAGCAAAGTGTAATTTCTTCAGTGCTGTCACATGAAAAGATAGAATAAAATATTTACAAAAATATCAGGGGTGTACTCACTTCTGTGAGATACTGTATGTAGACTGGAATATCTGACTTCACTATTGTTGCACTTGCTGCATAATTGTATCAGGTTAGTAATTCAAGTACTGAAGCCACAGAGACCATGCAACTAACATGTTGAGGAGATAAGCAATGGCAACTTACATGTGTCTCTTAGTACATACGTACTCTAAAAAAATGCTTAAAGATAAACTCCACTAGTTCATTATTCCACTCACATAAGTGGCCCTATATTACAGTACTTCTCTCAATGAATCTTGTGCTTTGATTAAAGTACGGATAACAAAGGTCTGTGACTAAAAAGCTGTTTGATTATTTTCATCTAATTTCCATGTATTTTGGTGTGCTGAAAACAAATAAAATATTGAAAAAACTCCTAGACGTCATGATTTGCCACAAAAATGCAAAGTTGTCTTCAAATTTATCAAATTTTTTACATTTTTGGTATTTTTTTTATATTATGGGTTTTTAACCAAATTTAAAGTCCAAATTACTATTAATTAATTCACATAAGTGCATTTAAGATATAAAATGCCAAAAAAATCTTACAGAGGTTGTCCGAGTTAAAAAAAAAATAGCACTGTAAATGTGATGGTCAGCAATATATACATAAGCTAAGCAAGTTTTAGGGAAAAACATTCTATTTCCTCATTTCCCTAGTTCTCTTCTGTCCCTTTGTTGTTATTTGCAGGTAAACAATCTCTGCCCCTCCCCCCTGCAAAGGGGGTGAATACAAGTACTGCTCTGAGTGACATGTCTGACTACTGGGATACTCAGCAGCATGCTGTATGTGTAAGCCTCAGCTCTGAGTCTGTGCTTCTAATGGTAGAAGGGGTTAATCTTTCCTGAAGAATCCAGTGGGTGGGATACCAAATACCCTTGTTTTCTGTGTCTATGGGACAGTCGAGCCTGACAAAATCACTGGACCAAGGAAGAGTTGGCAGCCGAGGGTGCTAATAGTCGGTGAAAAAAATGTCCTCCGAGAAACTTTGGTACCTTCCATAAAGTTCTTCTACCACCTCTCCACATAAAATTGTGATTGATGAAGCAATTCGTAAAATCACTTCCAAGAGATGGAGAATGCTTCAAATACTTGGTCACCAAGTTTCCAGGCCTGTCGGAGGCAAAACTGAAGGAAGGTGTGTGTTCATCGGACCAGACATTAGAAGGCTTACAGTTGATCAAGAGTTTGTCAATACCATGACGGATCCTCAAAAAGAAGGGTGGATTGCATTTAAAGAAGTCTGTCAGGGCTCCCGGGTATGACCAGAGGTGTGTGACTGACGCAGGGAAACGCAGACTTCAGATATGTTATAAACAATGTAATTTATTAACACTAACCATACAAACATAAACGCAGTGCAATACTAAAACATAACACAGTGCAAACAAACCAAACCAACCACCCACAGATAACAGTACATACAATGCAAGCGTCGTCAGGCAGGCCGGGTCAATATCAGTCGGGCAGGTAGGTACAGGGGGAGCAAGCGGAGAATGGTCGGGGTCACAGGCCAGGTTCAGCAGGTAGCGGGCAGCGTGGTACAGAGGGTCAGGCAGAGGAGAATGGTCAGACAAGCCAGAGATCAGAGCAGGGTCAGCAGAGAATCAGACAGGAACAGAGAGCAGGAACAGGATACAGGGCCCAAGAGAAACACAACACCAAGGCAGAGTCTGCAGGTCTGAATGTCCCTTAAATACACCAGTATAATTAGTTCCAGGTGTTTGACTGGCTGCAAGGTTGAGTCTCTGATTGCTGGGAGCACCCGCTGGCCAGCCCTGGTACTGCAGCTCATAAGGCAGATGAGTCCCACTATTGCTGGCCAGTCCATTCCTGACAGTCCCCCCCCTCAAGGAGCGGCCTCAGGACGCTCCAAACAGTCCTAGCTGGGCAAAAAGTTCCACCGCCCGGGTCTGGTAACTGGCGGGATATCAAAGACTGGCACACCGGGCAGGACTCCGAGCAGCGGCACACCGGGCAGGGGCACACGGGGCAGAGGCACACCGGGCAGAGGCACATCGGGCTGGACTCCGGGCAGAGGCACATCGGGCTGGACTCCGGGCAGAGGCACATCGGGCTGGACTCCGGGCAGAGGCACTCCGGGCAGCGGCACACCGGGCAGAGGCACATCGGGCAGAACTCCGGGCAGAGGCACATCGGGCTGGACTCCGGGCAGAGGCACATCGGGCTGGACTCCGGGCAGAGGCACATCGGATTACCAGGCGAAGCAGCAGGCAGCGGGCCACCAGGCAGAGCAGCAGGCACCGGGCCCCCAGGAGGAGCAGCAGGCACCGGGCCCCCAGGCGGAGCAGCAGGCAGCGGGCCACCAGGCGGAGCTGCAGGCAGCAGGCCCCCAGGCGGAGCAGCAGGCAGCGGGCCCCCGGGCAGAGCAGCAGGCACCGGGCCCCCGGGCGGGGCGACCGGCATCGGGTCCCCAGGCGGGGCGACCGGCATCGGGCCCCCAGGCGGAGCGGCGGGCGCCGGGCCCCCAGGAGGGGCGACAGGCGTCGGCCCCCAGGCGGGGCGACAGGCGTCGGGCCCCCAGGTGGGGCAACAGGCGTCGGGCCCCCAGGCGGGGCGGCGGGTGCCGGGCCCCCAGGCGGGGGCGACAGGCGTCGGGCCCCCAGGCGGGGCGACAGGCATCGGGCCCCCAGGTGGAGCGGCGGGCGCCGGACCCCTAGATGGAGCGACAGGTCTCAGGCCTTCAGGCGGAGCGGCGCGGGCGCCGGACCCCCAGGTGGAGCGACAGGTCTCGGGCCCTCAGGCGGAGCGGCGGGCGCCGGACCACCAGGTGGAGCGACAGGTCTCGGGCCCTCAGGCGGAGCGGCGGGCGCCGGACCCCCAGACGGAGCGACAGGTCTCGGGCCCTCAGGCGGAGCGGCGGGCGCCGGACCCCCAGGCGGAGCGACAGGTCTTGGGCCCTCAGGCGGAGCGACAGGTCTCAGGCCCCCAGGCGGGGCGGCGGGCGCCGGACCCCCAGGCGGAGCGACAGGTCTCGGGCCCCCAGGCGAAGCGGCGGGCACCGAGTCACCAGGCACGACAGTGGGCTCCGAGTCAACTGGCATGACCGCTGGCACTGGGTCAGACATTGGATCGTCTGGCTGGACAGCGGGCATCGGGTCACCAGGCATCAGGTCATTTGGCTCGACAGCGGGCACTGCGTCATCTGGCAAGGCAGTGGGCTCTGAGTCAACTGGTATGACCGCGGGCACTGGGTCAGACATTGGATCGTCTGACTGGACAGCGGGCATCGGGTCACCAGGCATCAAGTCATTTGGCTCGACAGCGAGCACCGCGTCATCTGGCAAGGCAGTGGGCTCCGAGTCAACTGGCATGACCGCGGGCACTGGGGCAGACATTGAATCGTCTGGCTGGACAGCGGGCATCGGGTCATCAGGCATCAGGTCATTTGGCTCGACAGCGGGCACCGTGTCATCTGGCAAGGCAGTGGGCTCCGAGTCAACAGGCACGACAGTGGGCACCGGGTCATCAGGTACCGGATTGTCTGGCTCGACAGCGGGCATCGGGTCACCAGGTATGACAGCGGGCACTGGGTCACCAGGCATCAGGTCATTTGGCTCGACAGCGGGCACCACGTCATCTGGCAAGGCAGTGGGCTCCGAGTCAACTGGTATGACCGCGGGCACTGGGTCAGACATTGGATCGTCTGACTGGACAGCGGGCATCGGGTCACCAGGCATCAGGTCATTTGGCTCGCCAGCGGGCACCGCGTCATCTGGATCAACAGCGGGCATCGAGTCAACTGGCCTAATAGGATCGTCAGGCTGGATCAGTTCATCATGCTGGGTAGAGGCATCAGGCTGAATGCCGGCGTCCGGCTGAGTAGAGGCTTCAGGCTGAGTAGAGGCTTCAGGCTGAGTAGAGGCATCAGGCTGAGTAGAGGCTTCAGGCCGAGTAGAGGCTTCAGGCCGAGTAGAGGCTTCAGGCCGAGTAGAGGCTTCAGGCCGAGTAGAGGCATCAGGCCGAGTAGAGGCTTCAGGCCGAGTAGAGGCATCAGGCCGAGTAGAGGCATCAGGCCGAGTAGAGGCTTCAGGCCGAGTAGAGGCTTCAGGCTGAAGAGAGGCATCAGGCTGCGTACAGGCATCAGGCCGAGTAGAGGCATCAGGCTGAGTACAGGCATCAGGCCGAGTACAGGCATCAGGCTGCGTACAGGCATCAGGCCGAGTACAGGCATCAGGCTGCGTACAGGCATCAGGCTGAGTACAGGCATCAGGCTGAGTACAGGCATCAGGCCGAGTAGAGGATTCAGGCTGAGTAGAGGCTTCAGGCTGAACCACGGAAGGCAGGTTCACCGGTTTGGATACTGGCAGCATGGTATTGGTTGGAAAGAATTTTCGCTTTTTCTGGTTTTAACTACTGGAGCACTGCAAGTAAACGCAGGTCTGCAAACGAATGGAGCAGCTGGAGACAGAGAAGAGCTGGAGGATGGAACAGGAGAGGGAGCAGTTGCTACAGAGGGCTTTCTTACAGGGTTAAAGGCAGGATAGGTGCAGCGAGTGGGAACAGGGTACTGACATGCGGTAGATAGCAGGGCAGGAGGAGCTGTTGGGAATGCAGGAATAGAGTTTTGAGGAAATAGATTAGAAGCAGGACTGGGTCTTTGTAAGCTGACTGAGGCTGGGTGCAACAAATCTGTCCATGTCTGCAGTAGGGGTTGAACAAAGCTGAGCTTACACAAAGCCTGTCTGACCAAAGACTGCACTGCGTTTATACAATCTCTTAGTGTCTGTGGTGAACATGTGGAATAACGCTCCAGAAAGTAACCCACATCATCCTCTAATGACCATACCAGGGACTCTACCTGGTCTGCACTAAATGGTGGCAAAAATTCATCCCTGCATTCGGGGGTACCAGATGAAACCAACTCAGCACAAACCTCAATCAAAGGCTGCACCTCAGAGAACTCTGTGCCCTGATCTACTAGAACATGAGCGAGCCGTATACATTCTAGCAGTTCATCCCGGGTATACTCCTTCAGAGTTTGATAAGCATACTCCCTGTCATCAAACACTAGCAGATATAAATACGCAACCTCATCCAGATCCATCCTTCCCATCAACAAACCAAGATGGCTTCCCTGTGCAGCCACTTCTGGTCAGGATTGGCCTTGGTGTAATGTCAGGGCTCCCGGGTATGACCAGAGGTGTGTGACTGACGCAGGGAAACGCAGACTTCAGATATGTTATAAACAATGTAATTTATTAACACTAACCATACAAACATAAATGCAGTGCAATACTAAAACATAACACAGTGCAAACAAACCAAACCAACCACCCACAGATAACAGTACATACAATGCAAGTGCCGTCAGGCAGGCCGGGTCAATATCAGTCGGGCAGGTAGGTACAGGGGGAGCAAGCGGAGAATGGTCGGGGTCACAGGCCAGGTTCAGCAGGTAGCGGGCAGCGTGGTACAGAGGGTCAGGCAGAGGAGAATGGTCAGACAAGCCAGGGATCAGAGCAGGGTCAGCAGAGAATCAGACAGGAACAGAGAGCAGGAACAGGATACAGGGCCCAAGAGAAACACAACACCAAGGCAGAGTCTGCAGGTCTGAATGTCCCCTTAAATACACCAGTATAATTAGTTCCAGGTGTTTGACTGGCTGCAAGGTTGAGTCTCTGATTGCTGGGAGCACCCGCTGGCCAGCCCTGGTACTGCAGCTCATAAGGCAGATGATGAGTCCCACTATTGCTGGCCAGTCCATTCCTGACAGTACCCCCCCTCAAGGAGCGGCCTCAGGACGCTCCAAACAGTCCTAGCTGGGCAAAAAGGGTCTGGTAACTCCGGGCAGCGGCACACCGGGCAGGGGCACACCGGGCAGAGGCACACCTGGCAGAGGCACATCGGGCTGGACTCCGGGCAGAGGCACATCGGGCTGGACTCCGGGCAGAGGCACATCGGGCTGGACTCCGGGCAGAGGCACTCCGGGCAGCGGCACACCGTACAGAAATTTTTAGGCAATAACAAAGATCCTTACTACTAAAACTTCGTTGGACGAATGCTGAAAGCATTTCAAGCTTTAGGTTGCCTGATGAGTTTGAAAGTGAATTTCCTCCAGTCCCACCTTGAGTACTTTCCTGAAAATTTGGAAGCTGTGAGTGAGGAACAAGGTGAACGATTCCACCAAGACATTAAAGAGATGGAAAGGAGATAGCAGGGAAAATGGAGCATTACAATGATGGCAGACTACTGTTGGATGCTTCAGGGAGACATTCCAGATGCTACTCACAAGCGTAAATGCACCAAGAGGAGCCTCACAGGGAAGAAGAATCGAGTTTAGTGTGTGTAGGTGAGCTCATTTCAGTTCAAAAAAGGATTTTCATGAAAAAATTGTAATAAAACTTTAATCTTATAAGTCTATTTCCATTTATCTTGAGGTATTGCGTTATTTAACATAGTTACCTAAATTGTCAGGAAACGTGATGTCCTATGACAAAATGGATTCAGCACACCAAAGAACATAAAGATTACGTGGAATAACCAAAACAGCTCTTGAAAAAAAATTTCTTTGCAGACCTGTGATTATGTAACAGCCAAAGACTCAAAAACCTTTTTTAATGCTTGCAAAGAAGATTTAAAAACAAATAAGAGTGCCCGCAGTAACTGCTAAAATTTCTTTTTAGGCTTTATTAAACTTTATTTTTATCTTGCTCACTGCCTTCACTTCTTGGTTGTTTCTTTGTTGCTGAAGTTCACCAGAATTAAAGATGAAATAGAAACAGCATTGCAGTAAACATACTGAAGTTTTTCCAATTACTTTTTAGCTTTTTTTAGTTTTTTTCCAACACACAACTAAATTCAACAACTTACTTATATTGTAAAGGAATAGTTGTGGTTTTACTGCAAGTGAAACTTTTTCTCTCTAAACAATTTTAACTTTAACTTTTTATTGCATAGTTAATAGTATTTTGCTACTTTCTCCCAAGCTTCAGCGTCTCTCAGTTCCTCTGCTGGCATTCACCTCTGATTCTGCTGTGTGCTTTCTATCTTTTCCTTGCTATCTCTCCCATATGTATTCATTTATGCAAAAGCTCAAACACTTTTTACTTGCTTCTCAGCATTACTAATGGCATGCTCTTGCTTATCAGCAAATCTGTCAAATTTTCACTACTCTAGCACCCCTCTATGATCTTATAGCTTTATTTTACTAGCAATGACTGGTGATGGAAAAAATGTTACATTAACTACAATCCAATTCATGAAAATGATGTTTAAAAATCTGTCTTTTATGGTACATTATAAACATTCTAAAATGTTTTATGGGTTTAAAGAGTTTTAGGGGAGAAAATGTCTCTAATGACTTGATCTTTCTATTATGCAGCCCTTTGTGGCATATATCTGTATACGTGTATTTGGGTTCCTTTAGTTCTCTAGATGCCCAATTTGCAAAAGCAATGCAATGGGTAACATAGTTAGACAAAAAAATGGAAACACTACATGATAAACAGGTGTGAAAGTGAAGACATGTTTTGTGTTGAAAGCAGAAGTAATGTAACATTCTTTTGCTTCTGCTGTGTGATGAGACACCTCGCTGACAGGTGGGAAGCCTCACTTTCGTCATTCACTGCTAGCAATATGGAGTCATATCAGAGCTTACTGAGTTTCAAAGAGGGAAAATTGTTGGTGCCCGCTTATCTGGTGCTTCTGAGACTGAAGTTGCCATTTTTTTTGACCATGTCGCAGATACAGTATCAAAGGTTATGACAACATATACAGTTTTCCAGGAAAATGTCTGATAAGCACAGTCGACATGGTCAACTGACCAAAAGGGACAAAAGGACATTGCGTAGGATTGTGATCCAGAATAAGAAAACAAGGACTGCAAAAGTGACTGCAGAGCTCAATCTCAGTCTTTACGGGACTGAGATTAAGTTCTGCAGTCACTAGTATGCTGTTATGTGGTGATACCTACATAACATTGCCTTCAAAGTCATATAAAAATGAGGATCCTCCTTGGAGAAAGGCATTTTTTTTATTTTTTGCATTGGTACATGTGCCTCATAGTAGTGCCAAACTCCCTATGTCCTTTAACTACATGCAGCCAGCCACTGTTCATATACGGTGGCAGGGCGGCACTCGCAGGCAAAACCACATTTTAAAACGTGTGTTTTGTAAACAAATAGGGGGCGCGCGCGAGGCGCGCCGCCGCCCTATCTGTCCCGTGGATCACCGCCGCAGATGTCAGTCGCCGGGTCACAGCCACTCCTTAGTGGCTATGTCCCGGCGATCGGCGACAAAC